AGCCTGATGGTTAAAGCAACCAGATCCCACATGATTGACTGTGCAGTTCAAGTTTCATACCCAATAGAATGAAAAACACTGGGCATTGTGCATGTGTGTCTCAAATCCCAAAGGTCAGGAGAGATAAAAGAGAAGGGATTATGGTATGAACATTCTACGGCAGGGGGAAGGGGGTGAGAGGTGTGGAAGAAGTTGTTTTTGTCTCTTCCTATCTCTTTGTCTCTCTCTGGTGAGCACACACACCTTCTAGCACACACACACATACACAACAAACACACACACATAAACACACACACAAAATCAATATGAATGAGAATAGTCAAATACAGTATGTCTTACTGGTTGCTGGTTTAGCATAACAACAGAGTTTCAGGTTAAAAAAAAAATCTGCTCTAAGGAAGAATATTTTTATCTACGAACTTGAGTATTTAGAACACCTAGTCAAAATCACAAGGGGTAATGATCAGTATAATCAGGTTGGAGGTGCATGCTGGCTGCAATGCAACATTTAATATGAGAACAAACCTTCGAGATTTATCATTGACGTATACAGACTAAGTCAGTTTCTAATGTCCTAGTTTCACAAATGTCCCTGTATGCAAACCTGAAATGTCTACCTGTGCTGATGGTATAGAAATGAGAATTCTGAAGCACTTCAGAAGCTACTGCTGAGACAGAGAGCTACCACTTTCAGGTCATGTTGGAAATGCCTAATGAACTGATAACATCTTTTAAAAATGAATACCTTCTAAAAATGAAAGACACATGCATTGTGTGTAAGGTTTTATTCTTTGAGTTTCCCAAAAAAGCGGGTATACGCACATGAAAGCACGTCCGTTGCTTGATGCTTTGGTTTGAGCTGGAGAAAGCGTATATTAGAAAGTTAATCCACAGTACTTCAATGTTGGGAGTCTGAGCCTAATGGGAAGAGTTTAGGTCATGAAGCTCCGCTGTCACGAATGGATTAATGCTAATTACAAAAGGGCTTGATGTTGTCAGTTCAGTATCCTGCTCTCTTATATTTTCTCACCATTCAATACTTTCCATCATGTACTTGCACAGTACGAAGGCCGAAGGCCGGCACCACATATCAGCCCTCAATCTTGGACTTCCCTGCCTCCAGAACCATGTATCAAATAAACTTTTATTGTTTACAAGTTAGCCAGTCTCAAGTATTCTGTTGCAGCAGAATAAACAGATCAAGAGGCTTGGTTTTGGAAAGCTTTGCAGAGTTCTGTTTGGAACTCAGAGCTATAGCTAATGAACTGAATTCCAAAGAAGTTGAAATATTCTAATAACTTTTCAAAATAGGAAATATACTAATTTCTCAATGCCTAATTAAATTCATGAACTCATTTTATGGATAGGTTTAAACAAACCTATTATCCTACAAATATATTTATTTGCTAGAATATTCTTTATCTTTATTTTGTCTCTAGTATGCATAATATGAAATTAGTGATTGACAAGAGTCCATTTTTTTTTTCCTTTTTTAAAAATTTTTTGCTGGGGACCAGCAGGTGGTGTGGTGGTTAAGGTACTGGATACTCCCATATAACTGACTACAGTTTGAGTCCCGGACCTTATGACTTGCAGTTTCACTTCCCCTCTCTCTTGTGTGCATGTCCTCACTCTCTCTCTCTGGTCAATTAAGTAAATGAATGAATAAACAAAAATTAAATTAATAATTATTTTAAAAAAAGAAAAAGGTTTTTGCCATAGGGCATGTGCATTTGCTGGAGAGAGACAGAAAGAGATAAAAAGTGAGAAATTACCCCGTAAGGGGAAAGATCACACCACAATTCCTTGTTCCTCCAGTGTCTTCTCAGGATTCGGGGCACACACACAAATTTGTATTGTGTGACTTTTAAGCCTGGTACTTCAACTGTAGTCAGCCATGTGGAAGTCCAGAGCTTTAACTATCACATCACCTGCTGGCCTGAAATTTAGTATACTTTTTTCTTTTTAATTATGCCAGAGGGCATATAGACTTGTATGAGAAAGAGAGAGAGAGAGGGAGAGAGAGAGAGAGAAGAAAAAGAAGAAGAAGGAGAAAGAAGAAGAAGAGAAAAAGAAGAAGGAGAAAAGAAGAAGAGGAAGAAGAAGAAGAAGAAGAAGAAGAAGAAGAAGAAGAAGAAGAAGAAGAAGAAGAAGAAGAAGGAGAAGAAGAAGAAGAGAAGAAAGAAACAGAGAAAGTGAGAAAACTCCCTACAATGTAGCCTGGTCATGTTACCAGTTTTTTCCTTGAATTCTTCACCTTTTGAGGATCCTGGGCACATGTAAATATTCCCAGCATGTAACCTGCCAGAGCTGAAACTCAAACCATGGTTGACCATGTGAGATCCAGCTTCCTCTACACAGTGCTTAACTGCTGTGTTATGGGGGCCAGTTTGGAATTTAATCTTCTTGATTTATAGTATCATTTTAACTTTTTATTGAGTTGAAGTTTGAAATTGAGTCTTTTTTTCTTCCATATTAGCTCATTTTATTCAGGCCCTGACCCATGAAAATTCTTAACGATGTATGTAAGTCATTATTTCTTCAGCTAACTATAGTGAAAAACCATGAAAGTGAATGATAGATGGAGATATGAAGGTATGTATGCCCCAAATCCCCAGAGGAGATGAAGGAGAAAGGATTGCAGCATTGACATAAACCCTGAGAAGTAATTTTTCAATTTCCTTCTCACTCTCTAAGAATGCCTGCTATGACAAAACAAAACAAAAAACAAGCTATGGTGGCTGCATTGTATGGAAATATCATCTTTGGGAGCAAAGAAAGGGGAGTCTGCTTTTGGAATACTTCCTCCAGGTCAACCCAGTGTTTCAGGAGGTGGTGCAGAAATTCACATCTTTTCATCTTGCTGGTGGGCCTAATTGGCAGTGATGTATTTTACCTGCAATTGGTAGTATCTGCAACAAGGTCTCGCCTCTTGGGAAAGGTTTCACACTTATAGTTAAAAGCTTCCAGGCCCAGTCCTAGGTGTAAACCCTTGTGTAAAATCATGAGTGTTACCTGGAAGTATGTCATCCTTTGTGAATTAATATAACTTAACAATTTACTTATTTGACAGATATATGAGTACCTCCTCTTGTGCCAGAAATTACGGCTGCAAATTAAGACAGAATAGCTGACGCAGAGGAGGCCACTGTCTTTGGAAACAGCTCTTGCAGCACTTTTCTGAGCCTCCAATTTTAAAATCAAAGTTGGTGCTTTCCTTTCTGATCTGTGAAGCACCATACAAACTCAGGAAGCTCTGAAAATCCAAAGGCAGCAAGAAAGGGCTAAAATATTAAACTACAAGCATTTATTAGTTTGAATATGAGAATAAAAGTAAGTGGAGTCAACCTTTGATTATTCGCAAGTTGGCTGGAGTTTATGATTATCAATGCCCTTTGATTCTCCTTCTCCTTCCAACCACCAACTATTGAATATTTCTCTGCTCATTATCACCTGTCTAGAAGTGGGAAGGTGAAATGCTAATCAGCCAATTTGACTAATTGTTAGCTGCTGCTATGTACCTTTTTTTAAATGTTGGGATAGGGAAAAGTTGAAATCTTTAGCTAAAATGTTAGCTGTAGATTGCTGAACTTCATATCACCTTCCCTTTCCCTTACTGATTATATGAATGCAGATATTTCATTTTCAGTGAGGTATTAAAGAGAATTTAAAAACCCAGTAATTTAGGCCAGTAGGTGGCATGGTGGTTAAGGTATTTGGAATCCCACATGGCCTACTGTGGTTTGAGTCCTGGACCTGGCAACTTGCTTTCTCACTTTGCCTTTCTTTTTTTTTTCTCTCTGTCTTTGATCACATTAAATAATAATAACAAAGTGAAATAAAATAATTAATTCATAAAAAGCCTAGTGATTCATAAGTTCTTAAATATTCTCCTGTGACCCCACATTGCATATGTTTTACTTTTCAGTGTTTAGAATTTTTCTTAATTTTGTGATGATTATTCCTTTTATCTGGGGGGGAGAGGTTTTTTGCTATAGGGCACATGCACTCACCAAAAAGCCAGAAAGCCAGAGAGAGATAGACAGAAAGCGAGAAAACCCCCCTCAGGGGTATGGCCATGCCACAATCCCATTTCCCCCATTCTCCTGTAGGGATCTTGGGCACGTACGCACACATACCTGGCATGAGTTTATGTCACTGGTTCTGGGACTCGAACCACAGTTGACTACATGAGAGTCCAGAGACATCGCCTTTATGCCAATTGCTGGCCCCTGATCATTGCTTTTTTAAAAAAAAATTGCTATAGGTAACATGTGCTGTCCAAAGCAAGACAGAGAAAGAGTAAGAGAAAAAGGGAGAAAGTAATAAACCACTCCCCAGGGGTGATGGCCACGCTGCAATCCCTTCTCCTCCATTCTCCTCTTAGGATTTTGAGCACACATGAACACATGCCCAGTATGCTTTTCAAGCTGCTTGGTCTAGAACTTAAACCACAAAGTCTGCCATGGGGAATCCAGTTGCCTTAAACACCACACCACTGGCTGGCTGGTGTTTAGAGCATTTAAATATCCCACAACATGACAGGTTTGGAAGAAAGTTTCAGAATTTAATAGTAACAATTCTAAGTGTAGCACTATGTAAATAATCACACTTGCTAAGTGAATTTGGACCAGCAGAGAATCAAATTTGAGAACATTACTTAAGACTCTACTTTTCTTTGCCTCTGGTAGACATTATAGGACCCTCCCCATACCAAATAAGGAAAAGAGGAATGTTCTGAGCATTAAGGGCACTAAGAATAAATCTGAGCTGTCATGGGTAAGATTACTTTCAACTCTTTTATTTCTTGTTTTCTGACACAGACCCCAAGGTCTGTAATTATCTTAGAGAAACTGTGGGGGCTTAGACAGTCGTTTTCATTCCTTTGGCATTTTTGTTGGCCTGTCTCTGCTTAGAGCTGAGGAGCCGGTGTATGTGTGTGTGTGTTCCAAAAAAAAAAAAAGTGCTGAAGAGTCCTAGGGAGATGAGGCTATTTTTGTTTGAAGCTGATACTTCTAGCTGAGCCACAAGTGCTGGTTGTAAAGGGCTTAGGTTGTTTCCAGGGGGAGAACTCTGCAGAGAAGAGACAAAGTTCAACAGGACAACAAAGAAGCAGCCGAAACAACCAGGAAAACGAAGAGCCCTCCGGTTCGAAAACAGAACCCCCTACCAGAGTTCTCTAAAGTATTCTGCAAAGTGCTGTTTGACTGCAAGTTTTCACCTGACTTTTACTTTCTACGACCACCATGACTGAGATCACTGCTGAAGGTATTGCTACCACTTCCCAATAGTACCAAGTAGGAGAAAAATGTGGGAAATGACAGCCACATTGTCTATGTGTCCATTTAAATTGTTGCTTTTAGGTAATTGCCTTGGTCAATAATTCCATATAGGACCAGAGAAATGGATTTGGGAGCTGAAAGGCTGCCAGCTCTTTATGTTGTGGGAGTAAGAAAAGATTTCTCTGAAATTTTGCATGTGGAAACTGTTGTCTGCAGTACCAAAGGCCCCCCTAGCTAACAGTTCTCACCCACACCTCTAAAAATAGCTATGGTCATGTAACATGATGGCTGATACCTAATCTTGCAAAAATTACAAGCCTTGCAAGGATGGAAACCAGGATGACTTAAAATACTACATTAAATCTTTAAATTGAAAAAGATGATTTGGGCATTTTAGCTTTATGATATTTTCAAATGGAGATCTCATATATTCTTTTTCTTTCTAACTAGAATATATAAACAAACAGATACAAATGGGATTTATGAACAATTTAAGGTCTAAGTACTCCCAATTTGTCTGTATTTTACTATTGCTGGATATTTAGAGGTTAAGTCTGTGATTCTACAAACTGACTGTTGATAATACAATTTAAAAAATAAAGCAATTAACTATTAGAATTCTCATTCTATTCACAAACTCATTTTTCTCTTTCCTGTAAATGATTTATATGTTTATAGTGAAATAAACATTTTCTTTTTCAATACTTATACTGAAAATCTACTGAAAAATATCATTTTTATTGTTTGACCATGGTAGTAAGACTGAAGTATTTTGGATACAGATACATTCTGGTTGTAGCTGGGGTTACAATGTGAGGTGGATCTAAAATTTACTTCTGACAGCTGTAAGAAGACCAGACAGGTGGTGCTCTCGTCAGCTTCCAAGTTGAATGCTGTGCTTGCTTGTTTTTAACCAGACCATTGAAACATAGAGTATGTGGTTTTTGTTTTTGGGGATAGAAATTAGTATAGACACAATCATTTCTATTAGAGATTTTTAGTCAATATTTATGGAAAGACTTGTACCTTCCACTGAGAAATTCAGTGTGTCACTCTAAACTAGGAAGAATTACTGACAAGAGTTCCATGTATTAGGTGTTTTGCTCAGAACTTTATGTGTGGTTATTTATTTAAACATCACACAGTTCTATTAAGGAGGTAGTGTTATCTACAGTTTTTAGGGAAAAAAATCCTGTAACAGAGATGTTCTGTGACTTGCTCAAGATCACAGCACTGCCAAGATTTGAAGCCAGTTCCCTAAATTTAGTGTGTGTGTGTGTGTGTGTGTGTGTGTGTGTGTGTGTGTGAGAGAGAGAGAGAGAGTTTTTTTCTTTGCTATAAGAGAATCTCAGGTTACTCTTTACCTATTTCAGCCAAAAATTCACTAACTGAATATAAATAGCATGTTTCTTATTCATTAGACATTTTTTTCTCTATGGTCTTTAGTTTGTCTTAAAAGGAGCTGTCTATAAGACCATCTTGCTTAGCCTTACTCAGGTTGTTAAGATACCTATGAGTGTGTATCCCTACCTCTGTCCAGGGCATGGATTGCCAGCTGATACAGGAGGTTAGTGGACCCAACCATTCATGGCCTGCCTATGGATTACGCTTGGTAGACTTTTGCACTTGATTCATAAAACTTCTTACAGGAAAATATCTTAATGCTCTTATTGTTGCTATTTATTGAATTGGAATCTGAGGTTTAGGAGGGTTAGGGAATATTCCTGAATTCATACAGTTGTACAGTGTATAGCTTGGGTTGCACCCAGCTTTGACCACAGAGTCATGTCAAATATGTTCCTTCACAGTGTGAGACTGATAGCTAGGCAAAAGCCTGGGAACTGGGGGAAAAAAAAAGGCAATCCATTGACAAATTATATGGCAAAACTCTACCAACCATTAAAATAATAGCTAGAACTGCCTTTTCTGACTCAAAGAAAGAGAAAAAGAGAGAGGGAGGGAAATAGAAATGAAAAAACAGGAAAATAGCATACCCTCAAGTTTCCAAGGAATAGATGAATGAGAAATATGCTAAAAAGTGCACGGCTAGGATGCAGTAAGCTATGGCAGCCTTCACAGTACAATCAGCCCGATTCCTTCAAATAAGTTACCAGAAACAAGGAAACTTAGAAAGGAAAAGAAACATAAAAAATTAGCAACCCAGGCCAGCCCATGCCATGATGGTTATAAGATGACTGAACCCCACATGGTCAACCATGCAGTTGAAGTACTGGATGAGGCAACTTGCAAAACTTGCTTGGCAAATGTACCTGTGCACCCAAAAATCCCAACAGGAAGGAGAAATGGAGAAGGGACTATGGCGTGACCATGTGTCATGGAGTGAGGGACGCTTTCTATCTTTCTCTCTTTTTTTTGTTGTCTCTCTCTGGCAAGTGTTCACACCAGCTGGCAAATAATAATAATATTAAAAGCACAATGTATAGGCCAGAATTTTTTTTTTTTTTTTGAGAGGCTTTTGCTATAGGGCACGTGTGCTCGCCAGAGAGACAGAGAAAGACAGAGAGACAGAAAGTGAGAAATCACCCCCCAGGGGGGATGGCCATGCCGCAGTCCCTTCTCCTCCATTCTCCTCTCAGGATCTTGGGCATGCACGCACACGCACCCGGCGTGAGTTTAAGCCTCTGGGTCTGGGACTCGAACCGCAGTTGACTATATGTGGGAGTCCAGCAACATAGCCATTACACTAACTGCTGGCCCCAGAAA